GTCGAGCAAAGCATAATACTTAAGATTTTTCACCGAGGACGTATACATTACACGAAAGGCCTCTATGAATGTTCGAATATTTGCGTGAGCCACTGTATACTTATGAGCGACAGTGTACATCCAGTGCTGTGCAGGTGCTCCGATAATTTAGAGCACTTACCGGCGGGTGTAGAGCATACGAAAGTAGGTTCAGTATATAAGAGCATGCAGATACATCACGTACCTTGTTTTACGGTTACACCTAAGTATCGTGAAGAGGGTTAGAAGGGGGTAAGGGTGCGGTAGTGCAAAGGCTTTCCACGCAGCAAACTTCTCAACGGAGCTAAGTCCCGAACACACTCGGGATACTGTTGTGCTGATAAAGGTTACCATTGCGCGCGTTCATGAGACTTCGTTGGTGTTGTTGCACCCCGTATTGCGCAGGATAGATTTACATTGGTAAACAGTGTCACCCGGGGACCGTGTACAAATTGAGATTAAAGTTAAGCCGGCTCGAATATTGGAATTATTCGTCCTGCCGGATTAATCGAGATCAATTAAAGGGCATTGGACTTAGGTAATGGTCACCAGTAACCATTTCTATAGATATAGTTTCGACAAACGTAAACGATCGCGAGAAACGTTGAGGAAACTGCTAAAACTTTACTCTTTGTCACATATGGAACAGTATTGTACGACATACGGTTGCTTTAACTTCGTAAATCGAACGTTCATCTACGCTAATTCTATAGGTCAGGGAACATTCGCTTATTTAGTTAATTCACTAGCATCCTTATTTACTATAGTTAGTTATTTTTAACTTAGCATCAAACTTTTTTCTAGGAATTACGAGACGTTTCTTATGATTTCTGACACTACAAATTCTGGAAATTATATTCCAGTTGGAAGATAGCAAGATTATCCGCTAGAGAAGATGGCCAATCATTTTGACTGTAACTTTTCTCATTTTAGGCGTAGTTTTAAAAATATGTATAATAACAGTATTTCGAAACATTGCCGTTGAATACTTTTTCGTTGAATCAAATTCAATAATTTTTGTCATTAATTTCACGATCAATGGATTGCTTTTTAGTGAAATGCTGAACGTACTGTACAACTGTAAACATTAACGATCAGTTGCCCTATATATATATAATTTTCGGGGACAGGAGTAATTAACGTATTTTATTTCAAATTTCATGCATGATGAATTGATACATATTATATCACAAAGATGATATAATGATTTCAAGTGATTGCGAGATGAATTTATTTTAATAAAGTATAATTTATTTGTTTGCTTATGTTCCGCCATACTTCGCGCAAATTAGAAATCAAATACGATTGTGCGGTAATTTTTAAAATGATATATCGATTGATCGAACCAATATATTATATTTTATATGCAGAATAATTTAATAAAAATGCGAAATAAAAAGAAAATCAAATTTATGCGAAAAACAACGACACCTGGGATTTGAATGTTAATTACTTATTAAACAGAATGATCACGTGATTGGATAATCTTATTTTATTGCCACTGAACAGAAAAAGGAGGATATCATTTTCGCATGAGTGAAATATCGCATATTATGTAATTTTTTACAAATAACACCGTATATTCTATTTTTATAGATAGCTGAAATTCTCAGGGCATTCTACGTAAAAAAAGAATTGGGAGTATTAGAAAGATTATTTAATTAAAAATTCCTGAAGCAGCTGAAACGCTTCGTGGAAACGTACATCGTTCCTGGAACGCAATGAAGAAGCGTGTCAGAAATCTTTTTTAATAAAGATATTTACATAAAATATCTCATAAATTAATCATGCCAGTTTACCTGAATAATGTTTTATACAGAATAACGAAATGTATGAAAGATAGTAGTAGCAGACAATAGAACGCATATGGATCATTACATCCGCGATAAAACATGACCGTAGCAAGAAGTTTCCTTTCAGTCTTTTTAGTATAACATTTTCTTTTATTGCAACGAGAAACTGATATGAATTGCATGCGGTAACATCAATAGCATAGATGTTGTTTTCAACAAATGGATATATATGGTTCCACAGGGTGTAATTCTTCATAAAACAGACAAATGGAGTATAAAGAATAAAAACTTTTTAAATGTGCTTTCGTTTTCGAAAAAATTGATTTTTCAAACATACGTTTACGTTATATGAGCTATCGATATCCACCGGAACACAAGCATACTTCGTACAATTTCGAAATCGACATTCGCGAAAACGATATCACGATGATTTTCGATTCTTTGAAATAGTTAATGTTTTTTTTAGATCGTCAATTTTTAATTTTTTTATACATATCTAGCATGTATCGCACGGTAGTTAAGAGGGAGAATTATGAAACTCGGAAACGTTTGAAGTTTGCAAACTGTGCTTCCACTTTCTTTACCTGCTGTTTGTTTGGAGAACAATGTAAAATAAGCATCGAATTGCGATACACAAGAAGAAAGGAAATATCAGCTGCTATGCGCGAATATCGATACGAACGTCAAAGTGAAGACTAGCGAACTCGTATACAAAGGCTGGATCACCTTGTACTTGTCAACCGAATAATTTAGTTTAGTGCTTCTGCTCATAACCCGGGGAACTAGTTTTCATGAAAAAGGTATAAAGTTCGTCTCTCCTTCGAGCTTTCAGGACGCGCGTTACACGCGGCTGATGACTCCGAAAGTACACACAACTTGCAAAGTTTATGCGACTCAGCCGGTGAAGTTATATTCGAAGAACTCCCGGAGAAATCATATCGCAGCGAGTATCAACCGTGTTGTTCGAGACATCAAAATAATCTGTTTGAACAACAGAAACAGTACCTATGCGCCGCTATTACGTTTGCTTTTCTTCGTCCGTAGAAAACTTTCCGGATAAAGTGAAATTTTACATCGGACATCGAAACCTCGATGTTTCGTTGCTTCTGTACTTCGATTTATACATGTTTTATGCATGTCAATATCGTATATATCGTAGCGCGAAGTGTTTTTTCTACACACTACGATTTTATTGAAAAAATATTGGATATACTTTTATACTGGTAAAATTGGGTATATTCAAACTAAGCAATTTTTACTCTTTGTTTCCAATTTGTTTACAAGGAACAATCTCCAAATCAATAATAATTGATATTCCGATAAACGAGATTTTACTATACGAATGCGTGTCCCTTGATATTAATTTGATTTTAAATAAACAAGTACGTAGAATAATGTGAATATAATACGTCGGATCCAAATCAATGTATCGCCAACTGTAATTATTCATCTGTACATGATTTATATATTGTTCAATTATTTTGTGTCTGATACCATGTAAATTGATATTGATACACATGTCCAGCTACTAAATACCAGACATTAGATAAATTTCGACGGATCATGAATTAATAATTATCGCTCGCCATTAATATAATTAGAGGAATGATCAATTATAAAATCGATAAGTACGATTTACCAGTTATTCAACGTATAATTCTATTTGCCTATGTCTTGTTCATTTTTTCGAAAATTATTATCTGTGAATTGTAACAGGCTAACGAATGACAAAGATTATGCAAATAAATGATATGTTAGTATACAATACGTATCATATAACATGTGCACTACATACGATAGACTAATTGGCAAGTTGATAGGTATTTTGGATTTAGTTACATTACCATTCCACAAGCGAGAGAAATTTTGGATTGCTGGAATGTTCCGGACCATTTAACTTTACAAGACACATTTCTCTCAGTGAGAGCTGATTTTCTGCTGAACCGCTTTCTAGATTTCGACTATTAAAACTTTTACTACCTAGCACAAATGGTAGAAGGGATAAAGCAAGTTCGAATGAAAAAAGCACGTAATAACAATGACTTTAAGAATGTACGAATAATAGGAATTGTAAAGAACGGTTTGATATAGCCAACAATTTAGATTAACACAGATTATTTCCTATGATGTTTCAAGATTTATATACCGAGAAGAATAAAGATCACAGTTTTAACTAATTTACTGAATATCTTTCTATTGGGTTGGCAACTAAGTGATTGAGGATTTTGTCATTTGACGCAATCACTTAGTTGCCAACGCAATAAATATTTGTGCAAGATTAGACTAATTATAGCTCTTAATATACTATTACATGTAGTAGTAACTAAATTAATCTACGCGACTGTATATTATATTTATATGCTTACCTTGCATTTAATTAACTGCATAACTCTGACGTTTCTATATTCAAAACATTCATCGTACTTACGTGACGTACATAATTAAAACAAATTCCCTATAAAATGTGAATTTACGACACTTTCAAGATTCTCAGTATTCCAAATATGAAAATATAAATTCCAATAGACTACAGCTTCTACTTCCCTATTTATCGAACTCAAAATATAAAACTTACTAATGTCTATAACAACAATTGCGAACCTTAAATTGATAATTATTATCAAATTACTATTGTAATCATGTTCGTGCGTATCAATAGCACCACAACTCGAAATAATTCAGAGAGATTGCAAGATCATCGGAACCATGAAAGGGGCGGAGATGACGCAAATAATATTTGCCCATTGTTTCCCAAAGTCTATTTTTTTTACTAACGTTATATGTATGGTAAATAGTTTCTTGGAAGCTTCCAAATAGCTTTTCGCTTTTACTGAAAAACTTATTCGAGTTGTCTCACTTGCAAGGTACACGAACAATATAAAAGAAAAAAGAACGATCCTAAAATGTCAATTAAAATCTCCTCAAAACCGTCTCATTTACTTTAGTCGTCTGATAATATATTTATATTTTTTCAATCTGGGCTATCGAAACAACTAACCGTGCTAATAAATCGGCACTCCTTACTTTTCCATGCTCAAGCATATATCTTGTCCGTCGTTTCTATGAATCCTTCGGATTATCTCCGAAGTAGTCACTTACCGACTGAATACTATAGGACGATAATCGGATAAATGGAAAATTATTGATTGAGAGGGATAATAAATCGACGACATAGAGTGATATACTTACTGGTAGCGCTGACAGCCGGTCCGATGACCGAGTGCTTGGGGTTACCGGTAACGGCCCCTGGGACGACCTTGTCCGGCTCTGAAATACATTATTGTAATTATCCTCGGAATATACAGTGCCGTTAATTACAGTTGGGAGTCGCGTATGCGAATGGAACATGGCCAATCTACCTTAGCAAACGGTCCCCATTCATGATTTATTACCTCATAAATAGTCAACCGGGCAAACCATCCTTATTCCGCTCGCAATTTCGTTTACGACGCGCGGGAAAACCTTCATTAATCATGCGATCGTTATAAAAATTATTATCAACAAAATTCGACAATGTCTTCATTTAACGAAGGGAACAACAAGACAAGCGAAGCGACAGAGAAACCGGCGTCAATGTCAAAAGGTCGTTAATTAATTTGACCGCGATTAACATGTCAGTAACGCGTAAGGAGGTTGAACCAACAAGGGATACCAATGTTATCGTCCGCGTAATAACGAATTTATGCAAATAGACTGTCGCACCGATAACACGTTCCAAGGAGGTGGCAGATTTCGTGCTTCGTTGGTATTTCTCGAACGAGAGCAGCTTACAGAAATTATCTAAAGGGTTAGCAATTGGGTGGATAAACGAAAAGTTAAAGAGCAGTTTAACCAAAGCTCTGCTTTACGGTATGTCGGAAAGCTGTGAATTCTGCTTTACCGATAGGGCGAACGTAAGGGTTGAAAGCTTCTCGCAAGTTCTGCTTCGAAGCGCTTTCGCGTTTGATCTCAGCGACACTCCTCGTGGAGCTTGCAAAACGATTACTCTGATGAATCTATGATACCGACGACAGAGACTGCAGGGTATCGAATTTGACAACACTTGTTTAATAATGTTTCGTGTTTATCTATTTCTAAAACCGAGAATTATCCGTTCTGAAAAACTTAAAACTCAGGGGTATTGTTATTCAGTCAGTTTTGTTATTACGTTAAATTTTATTGTATAATCTGCTTTACCATTTCCAGTTAACCGCGATACATAAATCATGAATTATCATAGAAAAAGTTCGAGCGACGATAAATACGAATGAAACTATTTTCCCAGGATTTTTCAACAGAAACGCATTTTATTTCTATTGCATAGCATTCATCAAACAGAAGAACGATTATTCCGTAGAATGTTATTGCAACTTCTGATTCTGATTAAGATTAATAGGTAGCCGTAACTTTTTACAGTCGAGAAAAGATTTTCGCCATTCGTCATTTAGAAACCACAAACTTGCTTAACACTGGTGAAACGAACTTCGCAGAAATTTCGAACAATCTGAGATGTCAGCCACGGAATCACCGTAAATTTCGACTGCAAAAGTTGAGAAACACGAGTGAACCGGGCGTCGATTAAACCACGGAAATTGATGCATGAAAAATGAACGAGTTCTGGTAATGACAGAAAATTCCAGAGAGTTGATTGCAATTCTACGATGACAATTCGTACGCTAATGATTCCTTAAGACTTTGGCTTTCAGCGACTGCAGCTCGAAGCTTTTGATTATTCAAACAACACGGTATGACGGAAATTCAGATGGAATCGAGGGGAAGAGATGGTTTATATCGGTGGATTTTCATAATGTCAGGAAACAGTGTCTTTCGTTACCCACCAGGATGCGGCGCATCGTCCAATGGCTGGAATTGGAACATCGCCTTGAAACCCTGGCCCGGCCACTCGGAATTAGCGACGAACTCGACGTACAGGTCTGACCCGGTGCTGAGTACTTCCACTTCCGTTCCTTGGTTGCAGAGCACAGCTATTGTGGGCGCCCCTGAATCCGTACCGTCGTGCACCCTGATTAAATCCGCTCTATTCAGGCAACTGTAACAGAATACCTTTCGTTAAAAGCAACTTATTGGTATGTTATCCTATATCGTGAATAACCAAACCAAAAGTTGAGTGATTCATTTCGTCCCTGGCAACGCGTACAACGTGCCTATGTCATGAAGCGAATAACGTAAGAAACTTGTTGCTTTGACACGTTATTGGTTTGCGTAAAAGAAGCAGCGAGGATTTCTTCCTGCGAACTTCAATCGTTAATTCGTTAGGTACTTTCCACGATTTTTCTTTAATCGATTCCGATCTATTCGCATCATTTCTGTCTCGGCTGTTGCCGCATCGACGACGATGTGGCTTGCGATTTATCTTATTTATTTCATGGCTTCTAGATGTATTCAATTTGGGTAATTCGACGTCTTTGGGAGTGGAGGCCGAATGCTAAATCGATTGTTATGTAAATTCGAACGTTTCTCATGGATGTCGCGACCACAGGGAGTTGAAAGTAAAATCGAACGAGAAATCTTTTCTGATGTGACCCGTTGTAACGAGATATCCGTGTACGCGTAACGATTGAAACTGGGAAAGGTGCAACTCTAGCGTTTCTATGAAGATAAAAGTTTTTAGAGTGCAATGAAAAATTCCAAAGTTTCGTATAAATCGTGAAATGAAACGAAGCGACATTCGCTCCGTATACCTTTGCCGCTCTTCCTCTTAATTAAATGTTTGTATTACGATTTGACAGCTTTCACATGGCAGTAAAAATACGAGAAGAAACGTAGTATAAAATACGTAGCACGAATCGTTAATTTTGGAGAAGCATAAAAGTGAAAAAAAAACATTAATTTTATTTCGTTTTTACCGAAATGTTTTATCGTAAAATATATTGGTATTAAGTTAGTTTCTCTAGAGGCCACAATTTATTAAATTTTACAATTATCGTAAAGTGTGAAAATTAGGGTTAATATATTAAAATACGATAGATTATTTAAATACTTTAACTCGGAGTGGTCGGTAGAAATGTTGGAAGGAATTTAAGAGTTCAATTAAATTCTCGTTTAAAAATAATTTAAGAGTTACGTTCTATGTAGAACGTCCTGTCCTGAAGCGTTTCTATTACAACTGTACAGAATCACCATCCTTATCATCATTTACTTCTCCGTTTTTTAACATTTCAAATTAATTAATCCACGTTGTAACTCGCGTTTGCCTCAAACTACGTCCGGTTTGTGAGAAAATTGAATCTTATGTAACTAACTCTCGTTCGAAAAATAATAGATTTTAATCTCGAGATACGATTACAGAAATACCGAGATTAACTTTCTCTAAAAAAATTCTATTTTGTAAAACAATCAAAATAAGACCCACTATGAACATGTTATTTTCGAATCCATTATTCAAGAAAATATAAGTAAAATTTCCGAGTAGTATAAAAGCGACCGAGCAAAAATAACTGGATCAATAAAGTTAGAAGGCCCATATTCGTCAACGGGAGATAGTTAATTCCTTTAAAGTTTTCACTTATCCGCAACAAGATTTATGCGTGAACACGGTTTTTACAGTGAACATGTTTTACGGTGAACATCGGCGGTACACGATACGAAATTTCTTAGAGCGCTCGTGATAAGATAAGTTTCATGGTTTGGTACAATTTGCTACTATAATAAACACGATTATAGTAAATTTAATCCTGTACATCTAGATATATTGTGGTTTCTATTAGCAAAATGTATAAATAGACTGGCGCTTTTATACATTTATGACAAACCTGGAAGTACAAAATTGCACATTAAAATGAGAAAATATATAAAATAGCTAAACTATAGTGCTTCCTATAATACTATAATAATATAATAATAAATATTCAACATAAATATAATGATATATAAATCAATTTTCTACCAAGGCTCGAACCTTGTAATTATATTCCCAAAAATATGAATTTGCATAAAAATCCATAGTCTATATATACAGGGTGATTAGTAACTGGTGGTACACGCGGAAAGGGGGTGATACTACGCGAAAAGAGAAGTCGAAAATATAGAATAAAAATTTGAGGCTTTGTTTTCGAGAAAATCGACTTTGAATCTTCGCTCGGTACGCGTGCGGTACGTTATAACGGATCTCACTGTATATCGTTGTCTCGATGGAAAAATTAAAAAAAAAGAAAAAATTAAAAAAAAGAAAAAAATTAAAAAAAAATTTTATTCTATATTTTTGACTACATAATATAATACATAACATAATATAATATAATATAATATATATAATTCGCATGGTAACCAACACTTCAGAAGACGCGAAAAACCTCGTCCATTCATCGACACGTTCGCGCAGTTTAAGAAGAACCCCCAAGGCCGATTCTTGGCTTAAATACGTACTATATGTTCCTCGAGATGTGCCCTTCAACGGAGGTGAGATAATTTACCTTCGAGTGACTCGGCTCGTTGCGAGATCTCGTGGAAAAAGGTGCAGAAACTGAGACAGAGAACAAGTGGTGAACGAAAAGATACAGAGAGGTTGGAAGAAGAGAAAGAGAGAGTCGAGGTCGACGTCAAGGGTTTTAGACGAGAAGAGTTAAAGGTGAAACTGCAAAGATACTACAATGACAAAAGGAACGTCGCGTCGGTGAAAACGGGGATCGTTGGCGTAGGCCAGAAAACACGACGGAAACGACCAAAGGAATGGGACGACAAAGAAAGAAATACGAGAACAGTCTTCCATCAATAGTCGACGATTCTCTTTATAGGTATACGTGAACTACTTTGCCCAATCGAATGGAAGAGAATTACACCTCACGGTAACGGGGTCGGCTCCTCGAAGCGCGTTAAGCCAACGGAGAGTCGGTGATTCGATCGATTTAAGGCCTTGATCGATGATGACCGCTGGATAACCTTATTACCTGCATGGGTTAAGCAATTACGTTGGCAGAGAAAGATTATCGTCCAAAGAGCCAGAGATTAAAGAGTATGCCCGTCTTTTCGCTGCTTTCGTCTGACGTCTTCGTTTGCAGGGAGTATGGTATACGCAAATACACTCCCGTTTAAAAGTCATAGGGCGTCTCTACTATTATTAGCAGCTTTTCGATATTTCTGTACGTATTTGCGCGTATTTTTTAGTCAAATTGTTGATACATTGGTATATATTTTATTTATCGCGTAAACTATCAAATTAGGTGAATAATTACAATAAAATTCGTTTATAATTTTTTTCAATTTTGGGCGAGATATAGTAATTGTCTCGAGACTCTTGAGATTCATATAGTTAAATAAAAATTATAAAAATTAATAATAGTATATTTTTGGCTTTCCGTGAACTCAGCTATTTGACCACTAAAATATCGAATTGTTCCAGTTGATTTTTAATATGCAAAGAAAGATTTTATGAGTAGAATATATCTTCAACCGTATACTTATATTCTCAATTTTCATAAATAATCACCATCTAGTGCTCCATTGAATTAATTTCATAATTTTAGTTACTATCAGCATCTAGATAAAAATTTATTTTTTAACACTCGTAGCTTTGATATAAACGTACTCCGTATATTTGCCGTGAGATTTTTATATCAACAGCATTAAACTTTCGAAAGTAGAAGGTATCAGCGAATTTGTTAACATTTCTAGATATGTTTGACGGTCATCGCCATATTTCATCACGCTCGTGAAACATGGTGCTGTTTTTGCGAGACCTGTGATTTTTGCGGTCACAGATTGCTCTGCCACGTGGTGAAGATTCCACGTAGCGTATCCGTGCCTGGAACTGTAACAAAACTTGCTTGATGAATCGACGCAAAAAAGCTCATAGGCGGCATTCCTAAATTTCTGCCGTATTTGTCACTGAAACGTGATTTTCGCTTTTCTTTACATAGCAATACACGCACCCTCCTAATTTTCCTTTTCAGATCAGAACATTCTTCGGTATTCTCCTATATTACCTACAGGATTAATATACGTTCCCACTTGGAAATTTTAAGACAATTATTATATTTACTTAAAAAGTGGATAAATTACGTAACGTAAAAAAATCGAATAAGAACTTGATATCGTCTTAAAAGTCTTACACTGCGTTATCTAAAACGATAATTTTTTGCTCGATATTAATCGTTAATTATTCTTGCATACTTGAAGAAGGAACATGTCTCGAACAGATTCCATGAATGGGAAACGTTCCATTCATAGTTTCGAACAATGCACCACTCACGCGATGCATAACAACGCGAGGTTTCGTTATCCTGGTTTCAGATCGGGATAAGTATATTGAAAAATGGTACGAAGATTCCAGAGTTTTATTTACGCTGATAATATTCAACGATGCATAGTCTCGTACTAGGAAATTCAGGTATTCCAGTGACTGGATATCTCTAACGCCACCGACCACGTTAAAACTGCACAGATGTCGACTTCCTACCGTGCGCACCAACGCCAAGTTCGCATGGAAGAACGCGGAGTACAAGGTCCACTTCTTTTACACAGGAGATCGTATTTTTGCGAGAATAAGAAAAGGGGAGGTCAACCGTGGCGATGGCTAAGAGAGAAGACTGAACTGGTGCATTAATGTCGGTGCATACCTAAGATCGGTGGATTTCAAGCGCGATAGAACTTCAACTATAAAACTCACGTTATATTAATCAATTATATTACTTACGTTATATTATGTCATTTAAATGGTTGTTTTAAAACGTTACATAATACGCAAGATTTTTAATCTATTTCACATTGGTCAAATATGAAAAGGATCTGAAAATATATATGGAAGTTGTGAGGCATTTACTGGAAGCACTTATTGAATACTCTTCGCGAAGATCAGCAAATTATTCCTTACGTTAAATGGGACACAAGTCACAATATGTATTGAGGCGCTGTATACTAATTTTTCACGAACAATAAGTCTATAATAAATGTCTTGTAACTTGTATGTACAATTTCGGATTTGTTTCAAATTTCACTATTATTATCACGATATTCGTGTCTCATTACAATGCCAATTAAATTGCAAAAAAGCTTCCTACCATACATTCATACGATATGATAAAAGTTCCTTAC